ATCATAGGGAAACGAGCAGAGGCGGTGAAATTCGTATTATTATTAGCAAGTTAATGTGGGGTTTGCATCTCCAGCGGCCAGAAAGCCAACTAGCCAACAAACCAAAAAAGCAGGTGGCATTGTGCTCAACTTTAACCTTTTCGGAGTTTTTAGAAACGGAGATGCGACTGCAAACCCGTTTGGCTTATACAGTTTATAAACACATATTCAAATTAAAAGATGCCCGATTGCCTCGAGGCTGGGCCAGTTTGATGACGGCCCCCTCCAATGTTTATGGCCTAGACCATAAAACGGTTTTAATTTAACCAATTTTATTGGACTTGTCTGTGTCTGGCCTGATGACGGATTAATTTATTGCCAAATGGCAAGGAGATGTATCTTTTAATAATTGTCTTGACCAGCGGAAGGGCCACAAATTACAATTTTCGCCCAATTAGTTGCAGTTATGAGCTGGTTGTGCAACCAATCGAATCGCACGGAGATCAGTCTATAGCCAACGATAGTGATTTGACATTTCGCTTATGTCGCTGTCCGATTTCGCTGTGGATTTAGATACATAGATACTACGCCTTTTATATAATGACAGTGCCAGCGAACCAGTTTGCTTTGGCTTTTGGTTTTCGGTTTGTCACCTCCGTCGTCTGACAAATGATTGATACACACACGCGTGTATCGCAGATCCCTAAGCATATGGATGTGGATTTGGCCCGAGCATAATTAACATTTGTTTGTCCGCGACTGTCGGCTTGGCATTGGGTGCGGGGTAATTAAGATGGATCTCGTACCGCGCCGTTGGCCATTTAACAAACAAAGCGCGGTGGCTTTTTGTCGCACTTCCTGTTAAGACCCTAAAACTGAAACTTGCACTGGGCGCCAAGTTCGTTGCCACAGTCTTTTGATTTGCTGCCAGATCGCGCAGTGAAAAAAAAGAGGTGATAATTTTCGTCTATTTGTTAATAGGAGTTAATAGGGGTTTATAACATTTTGCAAGACCATAAAAACAAAACTTGTACGAGTACTGAGTGCCAAGTTCGTTGCCTTAGTCTTTTGATTTTCTAGTTTGCACCATTTAACATAGGAGATCGTTTTTAAGCTAGCATGAAATTTATGTAATTGGATTTTGTAACAAAAAAGGTTCTAGTTATCACAAGTCAGTAAAAAATTTACTTTCATTTGATTTTTATATGTAATAAATGTCGCATTAAATTATAATTTTTTTATAGGATTTGAAATGGTTGATGTAATCTAATACAATTGTCCTGAAACATTATTTCATAAAATATTATAAAATAAAATATAATATAATTTATTTTGTAATGGCTTTATATATATATATTTTTCCCTGTGCAATGACTTGTTAAATTACTCTCACTCCTATCGCCATCAGCTGGTTGACTGTTTGTCTATCTGTCCGTCTGTCTGGCTGACTGACTGTCTCAACGAGGAGTTCAATAACCATTTGATGCGTTTCGATTTCAGCCAAACTGTGTACACAAATCAGCATAAAAGTGAACGAGAGGCTGCAAACTCGATTTGCGTCTTGTGAGCTGTGTTTTTCTCTCTATATGCATATAGTGAATAGTATTTTCCATTCAGCCCACACTCCCCCGATGCAAAACCAAAACCAAAACCCAAACCCAATTGCAGCTGCTTGTCAGGGCTAGGCTAGAAGCAAAAAGTGATTGCCAAGAAGCCGACAGCCAAGAATCGAGAACGCCGTGTTGCCAGGCACTTTTGGCCAAGCTAAAAGCTAAAGCCAAGTGCTTATTGGCCTGGCCTGCAATTATGCCCCAGCTACTTGATGCTGTTTTGAGCCATGAGTCGTGGCTAAGTTGTGAGTGCCTGGCATTTTGCTGCACATTATATTCACATTTCACAGAAATATCACAGATTGCTTCATACTAAACTTCAGTTTCATTGTCTGGCTTAACAATAAAACATTTGAATGTCTTTAAATTATGTATAGTTTAGCTTAAAGTGCTATAAAAATGATTTTATCGCTTCAGAAGTCACAGCTTCAGGGACGAGTAATAAAATGCCAGAACTTGGATGGAAAATTATTGTATTTATGAGATAAAAATTATGTTTTGAAGGCATTTATATCTAATTTATTGCTTCTACTTTTAAAATTTAAAAAAAGCATTTATAAACATCAATTTAGTTATGGAAAAGGCCTTTCATACATGAATTTCTACCAATTTTCCTTTTATCTTTCAATTATTTCCAGGAAAATGTATAATTTTGTTACCCAATTTGCCTACTTATATCTTCTTCTATTTGTACAGGCTAATTGCGCGATCGGTTACCAAATCTGGCAAGGCAGGACCCTCGTAATCGCTGGCTGACATTCGCATTACGTATACGCCCAGTCGGACCGCATTAGCAACTTCCGTCACAATAATAAAAAATAAAAATAATACGAAAAGAGCATAGAGAAAAATGCGTTGCTTGTTTTCTGTAAGGGAGAAAGTCTGTAACTCTGCAATTATACGGTCCGCCCCTCCCCCTTTTTGTATTTATTTTTCTTTTGGGGTTTTTCGAATGTAAACACGACGAGCTTGCCGTCGTCTTGCCATTTCAATGGTTTGTTTTGCAAACAAAATTCTCTGCAAGTGTTTTCATTCAATTGTCAGCGCCGGCAGAGGCATTCCAAACGAAAGTGAGAGTTTCAGATACATTCACAGCTGCAGATACATGTCGAGATGTAGATACGACGGCAGCTAGCAGATACATTTCCAAAGTACTGCACATGTCAGTCACGGTTGTCAATAGCGCGTGTCAAGTCGGTGGGCGTGGCCAAAAAAAAAAAAGGGGGCGGCGGTAAAGAGAGTTATTAATCAACGCCAAAATGCCGCGAAAGTGCACAGGGGCAATGAAAACTTTGGACCGACTGGCAATTAACATTTCTCAGTTTTCTTTTTCAAAGTGATTATGTTTTGACCTGCTCCACATTACATAAATATTTTGTTGATTAATGTATATTGCTCTAAAAACTAGTTATAATTCGTAGGTTTTTATAAAAATTGGTACGATAAAATAAAAATATACTATTGTACTATTGTATTTTTATTCTCATTAAGAAATATGTGATTTTAACATATTACTTTTTTAACCTTTTAGGTTTTTTCTTTTTTCTTTAATAGGCTATTTTCCATGGGGAAACATTTATTAGCACATAGAGTATACATTTTCAAAGCTAATAACTAATGCAAAAAGCTGTGTCGGAGACAATGAAAACAATTAACATTTCTTATTGTTTTTCGTTTTCATTTTCGAAATGCCCAAATTTCGACCTGCTCCACATTATACGCTCGTTCACAGAGTTATAATGGAGTATACTATATGCCCGATCCAATTGGTTGCATTGTGCGGCTAGCGAAAGACCATAAAATAAAATGTTTAATTTATAAAGCAGGCAGAGTTCGCATTTGATTTGGACTCTTTGATTGCCTTTGCTTTTCCACTGTTTTCGAGAGACTCCAACTCCGTCGTTTCGACTTGGACTCCGGCTCGAACCTAATTTTTGCGGGTTTTTCATTTTCGAGACCAGTTTATTTTTTTGATTTTTTTTTTGCTTTGCCAACTATTTGCCAATCGACAACGGCGAGTTATAGGTATTTTTTTAAAACTTTTTTTTCTTGCGCCGTTTGTCTTGTTGTTTTCCTTTGCAAATATTAATTGTTGTAAAACAAAACTAGTTATTGTTATTGCTATTGTTGTGCGCCTGTGCAACTTTTACTTGCTGCCTTTGCCGCTGATTTTGCTGCCAAATTGAGGCGTGCCGCCTGCTGCGGCCATAATGGAAATCTTTCGGCTAGCTGGCTTTTCGTTTTTCGCTTTTCGCCTCAAGCGGCCGAGGAAGTAAAAGCCGTTGCCAATTGGCCAATTGAAGACTGCGAGACTACGGGCATTTTCCCCCCTTTTTTTTGTTTTAGATGGTCTTTCAGCTATGAAAGCGAAACTGAAACCCCCTGCCAACCTCTGGCACATACTCATTTTATATTATTCATTGTCTTTGACAAGTTCGCCTTCAACTTCGGTCGGTCAGTAGCGGTACAGAACCCGTTGTCGTTGTTGTTGCCTCTGCCATTCACGTTGTTGCCTTTTCTCACACTCAGCCATTCCGCGATAAAGTCTTACACGGGAAAAGAATTTTGAACATATTTCCTATCGCCGAAAACTATGTTTTCTTTATAGGTGAGATCAAAGACTATAAAATATAGTAGTCTATATAATCTTTGGAGAGATCAATATTGGACAGAATGCATTACCAAAGATTTTGCTTAAAGCAAAAAGGTATAAACTTAGACAAAATTCGAACATTTGTTTGAAAAACAATTTTTTGTTTTCAATATTTTTAATTTTCTATTAAAAAAATCTCAAATGTATTCATAACAGAAACAACATTTTTTATAAACAGGATAAATTGGAAAGACATTTTCTAGGATATACAATGAATTAAAATTGTTCTATAGAATCTATCTATCTTTCTATATCTATCTATCTATAGATAAATTTGTTTTATGCTCAATACGGGAAATGTTTGTCTTATGACAAATCAAAATCAGAATATTTCAAGTATTATTTATTAAGAGTATTCTTAATATTATTAACTTCTTCATTTATCCTTTCTCTAGGAAAATTGTATATGATCTGTAAAAAAAAACTTTTTAGCCATAGCCAATTATAATTTAAGATTGGTTTTTTTCTTTAGTTTTAAAAAACTATTTCCCTTTTTATCTAAAATTTTTCTGTGAAAAATCATTTTATCTAGCCTGAAGTACTATTTTTTCCCGTGCAGTCTTGGTTTACGTTTACGTTCTCCAAGCTGCCATGGAGTTTCTGCTGCTTAACATTCATTTTTCCGTTGCGTCAACGGACTTTCAATATTCTTTGGCATGCTTTTTGTTCTGACAGTGGGGTTGTGTGTTGGGGTCCGTTGTGGATATGATAATTTCCATAGCCATAGCTACATGCCTCTGACACACATTTGCACTCACCATTTTTAAAAAAGCTCGACTCCGCGCCGCGTATCCACAAGCTATAAAATCGATTCTCCTTGAGCTGGCAGTGGGTATTAGATTGGATTGATCTGGTTCGATTCGATTGCTATTTAGGTGTGTGTTGGGTGGTTCGAGACACTGCAAATTGTCGTAGCTAACCGCACATATTCTGCCACTAGTCACTAGTCACTTTCAAAAATCCTGGCCCCCAATAAGGCGAAGTGGACCGCTTGTCGCTTCGAACTCGCACGTTGGACTGAAAAACTGAAACTGATTCGAGCGCTGCCACCGCCAGCTGCCAAGACAAGGCGACGACAACAACGGCCAGGGCAGAGACGTCGACGTCGACACTCGGAGAAAATGTGGGTGGTTTCGCAAAGTCACAATATTGAGTTGAAAGGGATATCTAAGAAAGTATAGGTAGTAACTTCCTAACAAATTAAATAAAACGATGTTGTATGTTTGAATCTTAGATTTTTTAAAGGGGTCTTAAAAGATTTGGAATTCGAAATCTTCAAAAATATTTGAGTATTAAGAATGTATATCAATGTTAACGATAAATAAGAGAATATTCAAAGAATCTCTTAATATGGTTACTTTGCCTTACTTTGTTAGAAAAGGACTAATTTTAATATGTATGGACATAATATTATTCAGTATATTATTATTCAGTATTTTCTAAAAACTTTCCAATATTTTTAAAATATGATATTTTATTACAGTATTCAATATATTATAAATATATTAAGATAGTCAGTACTCGTGGAAAATAGCCCCATAGATTACTTTCATAAAGTAAATAAAATGAATTTCTATTGGAATTAATATTAGAACCTAGACAACTCAAATATTAGGATGTTTTCTTTTGAAATTATGATCTTTTATGCCTTATGATATGGTTTTTCTTCCTGTGCATTGAATGGAGCAGCGGAGAGTAGAGCTGAGCTTAGTTTGGCCCCCGGATTGAGCAGGGTTTTCGGTTTTGTTGCTTTGGTGTTTGGTGTTTTGTGTTTGACAACGGCTGAGCTTCAGTTTCAGGTCCGCCACGTACGAGCGCCATATACGAGCAGTCCAACAACAAAGCCAAGGCATCAAAGGCACCAACGGCAGCAGCAGCAGCATAAAAACAGTTTTCGGTTTGCAGCCCGCGCTGTGAGCTGCATGGAAAATTAAATTTGCTGCGTTGCCTTTGGTCGGCTCTTTCGCTTTGCCGCTGTTAGTTGGCAACAGAGGGTTAACAGTGTTACTAATGGACTAGACCAAATTGAATATTGAAGGCCTTTCAATTCGCCGTTCAACCAAACCCCTTTCAACCGGTTTGATTGGGTGGCTTATAACGTCTGTGAATCAATCACAGATTTGGGCAATATCAGTTTTGTTACTAATTTATTTTACGCCCGCCACATTTCTTATTCAATTTTACTATAGACTAACTTAATTGAGTATTAAAAATTATTAAACAGGTATTCCGAATCTACAAAATAAAAATTTCAATCGCAAAACATGCAACATACTTAAAAATGAATGTACCTATATCACTTATGGCTCTTTAAAATCAGATAATGGAACGTATATGGAAACGCATGTTACAACTTTTCAATCTTGTGTTTATATAACTTAGCTAAAATCAGAATGATATTCCTTTCGTATCTTAATATCTTTCAGTTTTATAATATAAGTTATAAAGATGAGAAAGGAATAGGAAAATAAATCAAATATAAAGAAATGAGAACAAGTTTAATAGAGTTAAACCCCTTTTAAAACTTTGTATATTAGGTATATTTACAAGCATGCCTATGAGCGATGCATCGATCTTAAATAGGTTAAAACCGTTGATTCGATAACTAAGTCGGGTTAAACTAGGTAACTCCCCCACCCACTGGGGGCGTCTGCTGGTCACCATTTCTTATCGGATTGGGATTTGGTAAACAAACATGTTTGATTAGCATAAAGACAAACGGCCAAGAGCCGTCAGCCAAATGTCTCCGACCTGATCCTCATCCCCATTCCCATTTCAATCTCCATCTCCATCTATATTTCCATCTCCATCTCCATCAGCGACTGCGTTAAATGCAAATTCGAAATATGATTTACAAAATACGCCGCGCATAACACTTGGCTGACGTTTCACACGATAGAAAGCAGGAGGCAGCCGAGGTTAATTAGCATATGGGTTTTGTGTGAAGGGGTTTCATAAGCGAGCACCGTCCACTTTTTAATTCCACTTCCAATTCCTGACCTGGCCACCAAGCCCCTCCTTCCACTCTAATCATCAACAAATAGCCCACCAATGAAAACGAAAGTATAGATTGAAGTGGGGTTTTTTCCTATCCCAGAGTTCTTGGCCCACAATTCCTGGAAATCTTAGGCTTAACGGGAAGAAAAGAGCCTTCTCACGCTTTGCATGCCATAAATTTCACCGCCTTTCACTGTAAATCATTTGGCCAACTTAATTGCGTGCATTTTAATGCCCACCATTCCATTGCGTGCCATTTGCCATTTGATGTTTGCTGCAGCTTTTGCTTTTTGCAATTCTGTGTGCCAGTTTTCCCTGAAGAAAACTCTTCCATGCGATGCTCTGTTTCGCAAGCGGGCCAAGTTTCACATCGGATGCACTCAAAAATGAAAACAGAAATTCAGAAAACCGAAAGCCAGGAAGAAGTGATCTATGCGAAAGGCGATTACCCATTATCTATGCGGTTCAGGTGGGACCTTATCGATGAGTGCATTGGCTTGGCTTTCGAAATCGTTATACCAATTGAATATCAAATCGAACGACTTAACCTTCACTCCAGCAAGTTCGTGCCTTAAGTCTTTTGTTTTCGTACAAACACACACACACAATCGTAGTGGTTCAAACTGAAAGTGAAATTTCTTTGTAGGTAATTTCGTTGGCTGCCTTTATGATTTTGGTAATTGTTGAAAAAGAAAGGCACTCACAATCGCATCACATCGCTGATAAGAAACGTGATTTAATTTTTAGCTACAAATTATGAAAAACATATGCCGTCCACAAGAGGCTTTTCACTTTTCAATGGCCTTGCCTGGGGGGCCTTGTCTTGTATATGTTTATTTTTTTCTCGCCGTTCAGATCGACTGGAATCGGACCATCGGGGCGCCCTGGTCATCTGGTCATCTCATTCAACTGCCGCTGCGGAAGAACAAAAACTCGTCTGGGAGTTGTCGGCTCATTTTGCATTGTAATTTTCGACTGTGTTCTGCCCTTTCCAAGAAAAGGTTACTTATGTTTTTAAACCAGGGTTGTATAGTATTCCTTTGATACATTATATTTAAAATATTAATAAGTTAATGGAGAAATTAAATCCCAACAACTTTGGCTCACAACAAAGAAAGATCCATGTAAACAGCTTTTAATATTTTCAATATCAATAAAAAATGTATATATAGCTTTTTTATAGGTTCAATATCAATAAAAACGGAATTTATGAGTTTGGCGTATTTTTAAACCTTTTAAACGTAAGTCAAAAAATATTTAACTGTTTTGAGCCCAATTAAATTTCTCCATATTTTTGGAAAGTGATTTCAAGGTGATTTATAAATGATTTGTTAGCCACCGAACTTGAATCCATTTATAATCATTTTCACTTAATGGATAAGGTCTATTAATAAACCAAAAACCAGGAATGTTGCAGAGATTTATAGATAATCAAAAATCAGTGAAATATGTTATGCAGTTTTTGCTACAGCTTTAACCAGATTAAAAATCTTTAACAACTTCTAGGAAATTCCATAAATTATTCAGATCAAAAAAGGGTGTTCCCGGAATATCTAGGTATTTAAGCCATTTGGGTCTTGGATTCACCCAAAGGCCCAACCCTATTATATGTTTCAGATTTGTTAAAGGTGCAGAGCATCAGATGTTCAGTGCTCCAGATGGCACCTTGTTTTTCCCCATGCTCTTTGGCTTTTCTTTCCTGCCATTGTGGCCCAGACAATGATGGAGCTGCACTTGGATGTTGGAGGAGGAGCTCGAGGTGGAGCTGGAACTGGAGTGACGATAGCGATCTGCTTTCGCTGCCCCTTAATCAGCCAGTCATCGGTGAACGAGCAAGCTCACCCGGTAGTTGGGCTTATGTGCCTTTTGTTTGCTCAACTTTTGTTTTGGTGTTTATATATTTTTGGTTTTTTTTTTCAGTTGCCTACCCTCCATAAGATTGATGCGAGAACAAGGTTTGTCGCTTAGGTCTTTTGTCGTCGGTGGCGGCGGTCGCTTTGGAACTCCACTGCCGGATGTGTTCTAATAAAGCCAAACGCGGTCTCAAGGCCTCCAAAGTTGACCTCAGCATGCTTTTAATCGTAACAAAATATATTATCTCACAGATTCACACGGAATGGAGCGCTGATTTCTGATAGACGTGCCCTCGATCTTGGCCAGATTTCGGTTTAGTAGACATAGAAGCAGCTGGACCCTGTGCTCGAGCAGCTGGATGAGGAAGTGCTGGCTTCAGAAGTCGTGGTTTTCTTCCTGCTCGTCCGAGTTTTCCATCTCTGCCAAATGGAGTTTAATCCAAGGCGTTTCAAGATCCCTGGGATAAATTTAGAGCGCCGCTTTTCCATCTCCGTTCTGGGGGATTCAAGCGGGGTTGGGGACTCAGGCTGGGTCAGGGGTTCTACTTCAGGGGGTACAAAAATGGGTAATAAGGGGGAAGGAGGTAATGGCAATGGCAGAGGCTTTTGTAAGTTCTCCAAGACCAGCTTCAGGTTCTCCCTGAGATTCTTGTACTGATCTGTGTGATCTTCCTGATCCCCTGACCGCTGCAGGCTGAAACCAAAGGGATTCTTTTGGCTGGGATAGACTTCTGTTAATCGCAATTTTCTGGTTGGAACTGGGGTCTTTGGAGCCTTTCGTCGTCGAAGGCGGGGCGGTGGCCTTGGAGCTGGAGGAGGTGGTGGAGCAGGACGTTTCACGGCTCTGGCCACTTGAATGTCCAGCACCAAACGCTCCGCACTGCTTGAAGCACTAGAATTTAGGCGCCATCTGTGAGGAAACCACTTAGAAAATCCCTAAAAATTCTACAATATCTCAAACTTACCCCACCAGAATCAAAATGGTGTTATAAACCGGCAATGCCACCAATCCGAGTATTAAAATCTTCACCAGGGGACACGAGGATTGCTGGAGCTGCAATAGCCAGTTCATGGAACAGCAGCCAATGTTGTCCTCCATTATTCCTCGACTTTGGTTAACCACACTTAAGGTTGTCATCTCACCCGTCCAGGACCAAGAGTTGGGCAGCAAGTTAGCCATAAAGCAACCAAGCGACTCCCAGCACGGCAACTTCATTGCTTATTTTGATTCCTATTACTTCGGTTGTAGCAATAGTGTAAGTCTTGAAAAATTTATAAAAAAGAATGACTTTGGATGCCAGGATATGGTGTTCTTTGTTCGATAGACACATTACACATTGAATTGAATGTTTTCCATTTTTTTTTAAGTACATCCACAATTGATATCGATGGTAACATATTTTAGATTGACTACAAAATACTATATTCTATGAAATTCAAAAACTGTAGTCACTCATTGCGCTTGACGTGATCCCTGTCCTCCAGATAATCCACATTCGTCTCGGCCGTATCAGGAAGGTATTTGTAGCATTCGCATTGTGGCAAACTCAAGGGCAACATGCCTGGGGCCACAAAGTTGCCCCCTCCCAAGGAAACCAGCGTTGCCTCTGAGAAATTTCTCAAGGATTTCAAGCGGCATCTTAGAAAATGGGTGCAGCAGATGGCGGGCAGGAGGAGCAGGGAAAACAGAAAAAGCCAGAACCAAATGGCGTTCTAAAAAGAGATATAATATTAAAAACCTTGGGTATGAAAAATATTACTTATAATTAAATAACTAGGTAATGATTGGCACCAATCACCATTAAGTTAATGCAAACATTTTGTTGGTTTCAAATTATTATAATACTTGTGGAACTACATAAAAGTAAATGGTTGAAAAAGACTCGCATAATCACTGCAAAACATTGTTTCGGGGAATTCCTAGAGACCTACCATTGGCTTTACAATACGATTGCAGAGGTCAGTGTACTCCGCCTTGGCCTGATCCTCCTCTCGTGTGAGGGGCTCACAGCTCCCCATCTCGCCCTTGGTGGCCTCATCCACCATGCCAACGTACACATCTAGGCTGGATTCCACAAAATCACTGATATTCCGGGCCACCTCGTCGGTAACCTTTTTGGCATCGTATCGCAGGAACTGGTCACCTTGCTTGATCTTGGCCAGCAGGTGTTTCAGGTACTTGGCAAAGGTATCATATCCCCCTGTGAGCAGCACATCCAGTTGTTTTAGCATTTGCAACAATCGTGGTACCATCTTCGCCAAGGGACGGTCCAGGTATTGTTCAACGGAAGCTAGATAAACTGTCATGTTTCTGAGCATTGCTCCTGTTTTGACGATCTTCGACAGTTTAATCATTTTCCCGGTCAACACTAGTAAAGGACCTGGTCTGGGTTCCGGCAAAAATTGAGGACATATTTGCCTTGTGAAGAGCTTGCTGTCATATTTGGTGAGGTTGCCCTTCAACAATTCTTGAACCACAATCGTCGCATTGGCGTGAATATATTGAAGGTTGTGCGGCAACGAAGCGTTCTCCATTTTCTCTAGGGATTCACGGACATCTTTCATCATATCATCGCGTAGGCCATCCAGGTTATAAATCTCTTTTAAACCCAATATATTGTACAAACTTTCATTGCGAACGCAGCTGTGCAGGACATCCAAGGTCGTCAGCATGGGCAGTGAACGGGAAAGGGTTTCATTTTCTGGCAGATAGTCATTCGGATTAATGTATCTGTTAATTAATGGCTGAGAGGGTATCCTGTAAACAATAATGAACTTTGATCACAATTTTAAATATATTCATCTTATAAAATTATACCTGGAACAAAAGGCTTGATAAATCAATGCTCCGTGAACCAAATAGAACAGCAGCAAAAAAATGCCAACCGAGAAAAGGATAAATATAGCAATTAGGGTAATGCAGAGTAGCCAACTGGCCACCTTTGGACTGGACAAAGCCACCAGGAGACTGATGATCAGGAGAATCGGCACCAGCATCAATAACATAATGATGCCAATCGTGGTTCCGTACCAAGATGATCCCAGTTTTCTCCGCAGGGCACGCAGGGCAGGGGTAGATCTACTTCTGTGTTTTTCCATGACCACCGCATTTTTATCCTTCTTTATCTCCACGACGACTCCTTGCAACACTTTTAAGGATGCTTCGTATCGCTTTTGCAGTTCCTTGGCTTAGGTTGAGATTAGAATGTTTTTAAGAAACTTCCAATGTTATACAGCTTACCGCCCTTTTCGAGACTATTCTTAATGGTGTTTAGTATGTCACTCATGTGATCTTTGATCGCCTGGGAAATCTGTCGCAATTGCTGAGCGGTCTTTTGCTGGTAAGTGATAAACTTGCTGACTAATGCATCTTGAACACCTTTAATAAGGGGTTTCGTTTTGGGTAACTAGAAGGTGGAAGGGTATGCGTTATATATGAGGTAGCCAAATTTAAATATAATTAGATATTTTTAAAAATGTGATAGTTTTAAAACAAAGCTATTACATTGATCTTGCTTTCTTATTGACAATTAATAAAATAAATTGATGTACTTACTCTATCATATTGCAGACATCCCATGTCTAGCTTCTTGATATTTTGGTCACGGTAAAAATCAGTGCATTCTTTTTGCTTACAGTACACGGTTACATATTTTGTGAGATCCCTTTTTATAGCTTGTAGACCTAACAAAGATTGTCTATTAAATCATTATATCTAACTAAATATATTACCCTTACTTTTACGATATTTGGTTGCCAATTGTCCGGCCTTGCCTAACTCCTTATCAAACGATATCATTAGTGGCCTAACCCTTGTCATGTTCTTAAGGACATCGCTCAGCATTTCGATCTCCTTGGCATGGACTTCCCAATGAATATAGGACTCTGTAACATTAGGTTCATCCGCTATGGCATCTTCGATCCAATTCTGTAACTGATTGTAGGTGACAACATACAGTTGATGCATGTGATCAGAGCTGTTATGGAATATATATTCTTCACTTGACTTGCTTAAGTTACTTGGTACGCATTCCGGCTTTTTAAGGCTTTTCAAGTTTTTATTCAGCTGGGTAGCCGCCAAAATGGCAAAAATAAGAAATAAACTAGGGTATAATCCATAATCACTCTGGGCTATGAGTAATACATCCATACTTACAGCATCAACAAGGCCAAAATCGCTAAAAGTATACCACAGCAGTAGCGAATGTTTTTGCTAGACTTTTGATCCTTCTTGCAGCGCGCACAACAGCAAGCATAAATTAATCTAATGGGAATTATTACTATGAATACCACCTCTCCAAAATACTAGAAACTCTCACCCAAGGATGGGAACCAGAAAAAAGAGTAGAAATAATATAGGAACTAATATCTTTAGGCCTGGCTGAGTTGCCAAATACTCCGCCCAGTCATCCTTTACCACCTTAGATCCAATGTCATTCCCATCTTTGGTTATATAACCTTTGGGCACCTCCTTGGAGTCTGAGACCACAGAGCCAGTGACAAGATGAGGCACATACGTGATTGGACCCAAAGAATCCCGATATGTATCTGTCGTATTGATCATCTGTCGATTTGCTTTCTGATACTAGATCCTTATTTTTTGGTCTGAACGTTCTGTACTTTATCAAGGATTCCTGATCGATCAGAATATTATAGAATCTGGCAATCAACCAATAGGAGCCGAAGTGTTGGGATTCCAAGCAAAATAAGGAAATATCATTCTTTTGAACTGTATTTATCAAGATGTATATATGATTATAAAGATAAAGTTTGCTTTGGTTAAGAAAGAAAAAATGAAGTAGAGAAGCCGTTTAGAATTCTATGTTTTGAAAGATTTTAATCCGAAAGATGCATTTAACGAGCCTTAAGAGATCTATAAATCAATCAATAAATGATCTAACCAAGAACCAACCTTATAAACCCATTGTTTTCAAGACTCGCTTATTCGTACATAAAACCACTTGAAGTTTATTGACAAAATTTTGCAAACGACTGAGACAACCATCAACGGAGCTCGATGATTGACTGGCAACTGGGTTTTTGTGTTTTCCGGGTTCTTATTCGATAATCTTTACTTGCGCTCGGCAATATTGATACATGGTTACTTGACTTAAGCGGAAATCATTTAATGTACGTCAAATGTAAAATACAACATACATTCTTACTTGTATAATAATACTAAAATTATGTAATTGTGTAATCCGTACAATATGCTCGCGTGTCGGTTTATTTGTGTATGGTGTTTTATAGGTATTTTCGGAAACTTACAGCTTGCCCTTAGGTTCTAGACAATACAATTGGAAACGTTTAAATGCTTTAGGGTTGTTGCTTTTGCTTTTGGTTTTCACTTACTAAACTATGACAACGTGTTAAAATACGTATTTCATTCAAGTATTCGTATCTCGAATCTGTAGCTGTTTAGGGTTTTTCATTGGATTGGTATATCAGTGTCCGAGTGCACAATTTGTCGGTTTTTAAGGAAGTGTGTAGTGTTTCGTATTGTTTCTAAAATAAATACATTAAATGCATTGAATAACTCCCAACTCTCCTGTTCTGCTCTTTTTTAAATTAAAATGGCAGTTTTGGTATTGATCATATTTTGTTTTCCGCGATTTTGATTTCCTGGAAGTTTACAGATTCCATAAAGTGTTTGATCGGTTATTATTTATGTAGTTGCTTGCTAGATATTGTTTTGTTTTGTATCTTTGTTTTTTATTTATTTTTTTTTTTTGGGTATGTCTCGCCTGCTCTGAGTGTGTGCATAATAAAATTATGAGATTCCTTAAAGCTTCTGCGGCCGTGCGGCCCGGCGAATGGCCAACTTCTTCAAGGGACTCATCAGATCCTACGCCTGCCGCTCGGCCTTCTAGCCCGGAGTCTCCAGACTCCAGAGTTCATTAAATGCTCCGGCCGGGACAATCCCCGCCGGATCCGTCCGATTCATCGTGCTCGTCTTTTGGCAACATTTTTTGTTTTGTTTTGTAAAGTAATCATAAAGGGGGTATTTGAGAATTTTCGTATTTGCCCTCTTGCTTTGGCCCGCTCTTAATATTAACTATGTATGGGTTCTTCTCCAGCTTTCAAGCTTCCAGGCGAATGGCAGATCTCCTGGCCGGGCCAAAGTGATAACACACGTGATGCTACAATACTACTTAATTAAATTATATAATTTCAGTTATCTTCTTGTTTACGCTTTTAACTAAAAGTACAGTCTCAGTAGGGGGTATATATGGGAAAAACGAGGGCAGTGGGCGTGAGGGTTTAAAATAAAATCATCCATGTTGCCACCTCCCGAACGAACCGTCCCGAGCCAGTCCATCCGTCTAATCCTGCTCGGAGGCACCTGGATAGTAGTAGGGCGGCGGACGTTCGTACTCAGAGGATGGCGGCGCAGCTGGAGGATTGTGATATCGTGGTGGCTCGTGGTCCCAGTGCCTGTGGAATGCAATTAAATCGAATTAGTCCATGGATAATATATGCAGGGCGTATTTAATATTTATAGTGCGACCGCACTAATCACGCACAACACAGAAACACACAGAATGGAGGGCAGCAGTAGCTGCGTTTAATCAGATTAGTTGGTCAACATAGATCGAACATCGATATGGAGTTAGTGGCTTTTGGTCATGGAAAAGCAATCGTTTATCGAGGAGGTGTTGTGGTCTTATTCGTAGGATAAGCTGGGGTCTTGTCTGGCCAGAGATCGAGTCCAGAAGTGTCTGTTACTTTGGAGCAGCAATCTACGAAAGCTTCTCCAATAAGCAAATTCAATAAATGTACAGAATATTTTCAACAATAAGGCGTTTTATGAAGCTTTTAAAAAGAATTAAGGAACTTAGTTAACCAAATTAATACCAGCAATGGGTAAATGTTTTTCCAGTACTTTTTAGCCAATCAAAAATACAAACAAATGAAAATCAACGATAGTTATGGAAAATTTTAACTCGCTAAATGAAACGAAAGGGGTACTAAGCAGTTGTGTAGGGGGTGGTTTCCAGTCTATTCACAAACAGTCGGAAATGTATTCGAATCGAGACTGCCGGGGAAGCACACCGATACCGATCGAATCTCTCAAAGGGCACATTACCGAGCTGAAACCAAAACCGATTAGCATTTGGGCCATGCCTAAAAGAAACCATCTGCCGCCAATGCCTTTGGCCGAGTGCCATTGGTCGCACCTTTAGCGCTAAATTAAACAAAATTAAAAATTAGCGTTTTAGCTATTTAGCAGCGGTCTAAACGATCAAGGGAATCTGGATATCGATGCGGTCAGGCTAATTAATGGTCAGTGTTACGCGGCTATGATGCATTTACTATTGGAAGAGCATATTGTTAACTTACTACAAGACTGTCTTAACTTGGAATATTTTATACGCAAAAGATCCAAAAACTTAAAGCTTATATGGTTAAAAATTTGGTTTCTCAATATCGTGTTCTGTTTTATCGAGCTGCAAGGTTAAGGTTAAGTTTTGGTTAAATTTGTCGTTCAACAAAACGAAACTGACACGAAATTACAAAAATACCAACTGAATCGTGTATTAATTCACTTTCAAAATATATTGTTTGTAAAATAACCAACACAATTTAACATCATGTCAACTTCTGAAAGAAAACACACTATAACCTTAACATGACATTGAGAAAACGGACCTATATAGACTTTTCAATTTTTTAAATACTTTAAATATTCATTATTTACATATTTTTTAAGGCAAACTGGCCCACTTTCATGTGATTTAACTAAATGCTCAGCTAAGACAGTCTTTTAGATAGCGACTAATGATAGGAGAAGCATAGCTGGGAGTGGGATGACACTTACGTGGGCGCCATATCGTTGTAACGCATGCTGCTGCTGCCCGGGGCTCCGTCCCCTCCGCCGCCTCCGCGATCTGCACCAGAACGATTGCCCCGCGAAACGCTAGGCGAGGCGTCCTCATAGTAGTCCTGCTGCTCCCGTCGCCGCTCGTAGGCCTTGCGCCGCTTTTTGGGAACACTATAAGGTGGAGGAGATGCAATGGGACAGAGGGACACAAGATTAGAGGAGCTGCTAGCCAGATGGGTCAGACGGGTGACTGGATGATCTCTTACTTAGCCAATGGTACATGTTCACGCTCGCGCTCACTATAAGCGTCGTACAGATAGTCGCTGCTGCGGGCGGGATGATTCGGGGTTAGCGGTGAAATGAGAAGAATGCGGACGATTTAGTTGTGGTGCAAACGCTGAATTTTTTTGTTGCTACATGCATACACTTATAAGACAAATGCTGAAAGTTAATCAAGTAAAATCGAGTCCAACCCAAGGTGTTAGTCTTTCTTGCGTTTGCTGGCGGCGAGATCGGGATCTGCATTCGAGTAGGTCACCTCGCTCTCGTCCCAGGCAACAGCATCGGTTTCTTCATCTTGGATGGCATCTTCGCCACCACCACCTCGAGTGGGTGCTCCGGCTGGACAGCCGCAGTAGGCCTGCTGCCCACCGGAGCAGCTAACGATTGGCGGTGGCACATATGGAGCACCCGTGCAAATGGGACAGCTTTGGGTTAGGGTGGTTACGGTGGTTTAGCTGGGATGCCTGAAATGCGAAACGGAGTAGACAAAAGACAACTCACCCGCCCTCAACAACGCCAGCAGCTCCAACGGTAGCCAGATAGGGATAGATCTTCTTGTACAGGCACATCAGGCGGTGGGCCACGAACAGGATGGGCAGGAAGAGCAGGGCGCACAGCAATATACCCACCCAGAATCCATTCTGCAGATAGAATAGAGTTAGCATTAAAATTGATAACACTTCAGATGTGGTAAGGCATAGAGCTATAGTAATAAGACCTAAGACCTAATAACTCACAATGGGATCCACGATGCGGTGACAGATCAAGTCGACTCCACGATAATATATATACGATAGGGGTGCACAGTGTCCCACACTTTCATTGGCCTCCTTAATAATCATATCGATGTACTCCTCTATTATCTGGTCAATGGTCTTTGTCAAGTTCCCGCCAAGGCTATTGATATACTCCTTGCCGCGTTTCTGAATGAACTCCTCGGAGCTGACTGCCGTGGCGGTCAATATTTTGATGGTGTTGGTAAAGTCGTGGTTCTCATACGAAATCAGCTCGTCGATCTTCTTCAAATTGGCTCTCATCCTCTCCACCAGGCTGGTGAGCTTCGGCACAAAGTTGCGATAGAAGGCCTTGGTGTTGAGACCCTCGTTCCAGAAGGATACCTTGGCCCAGCCGTATGCGGGGTACTCAAGATCGTTGGACAGCTTGTACAGCTGCTCGGACAGGGCATTCAGGTTCATGGGCGTGAACTGGGTGCACAGACTGGGCATGTACAAGGAGCTATGGTACTTGGAAAGACTATTTTCCCGCGCTTGGTTCAAGTCCTCACGCTCTTCGTTCGTCAACAGTATCACATTGGACAGATCCTCATCGAAGACCTTGACCGAATCCGGATCGTCGACTGCATGGGTCATAACCTTGATGCGAGCCAGGTCGTTGATGTCGTATATGTTGTTCTGTCGCATCATCTCAAATATGGTCTGGTTGGCATGGCAGGCCTTGATGGCGCTCGACATTTTCAGCGGCTCCGACACGTCCTTGGAGGCCTCTCCCGCGGGTAAGAAGTGATG